AAACACTTTCACAATGCCCGAGGCCAAGAATCAGTCATTGTAATTTAATGGCGAATCCTTTACATCGATACATATAAATGTGTGTGTGTGTGTGCATGTGAGAGAGAGAGAGGGAGGATTAAATAGTGAGGCTCTCCCATCATCTCAGGGTTGAAGGCATTGCACAGATGTCTATGTGGAGAAAGCCCAAGCCCAGCTTGAAGAAAAGGATGCGTGCCACGTGGTTCCTCGGCTTTCTCGAGGCTCTAGACTGACGATAAACAACCCCCGTTGATGCCTGATCCAGTGGTCCCCGTCCGTGTATCGGTGCACTGCACCGGGTACACTTGATCTCGAGCTGAGAACACGTGACATAACGTCATTGGATGAGACCCCTTCCCTCATTCTTTGCTGGTGGGAACGAAAAGAAAAAACAATTTATTCTAAGATTTAAGATAACGAGAAGTGGTCCCACACAGTCATATTGGTGAAGTTTTTTCTTTTTCGTTCTTTTATCCCTCGGTTTTTTCTAATATTCGCTTTATCTTTTTTGGCTTCCTTTAAATTTTCACTATTTTCCCCTTTGGTTTGAACTTTGAAGGGATGAAAGAGGAAATTAATTAGAAGTAAGGGTGCACATAATTTGGTTAACCGATTAATACGGAAAATTTGATTTGAATCGAAATCGAAATCGAATATTTAGTTCAACTTTCGATTTATATTTTCTTAAAATTTCAGTTTTCGATTCGATTTGCATAAAATCAAAAAATTATAAGTCCAAGAACAGTAGGTAAATTTCGCAGCAACTCATCCTGACATCATGAAGCACACCATGAACGGGGAAAAGCCTATATGAAGCCCAAACGGGGTTTCATCCTAAAACCAATTGGTGGAATGAGTAGTAGCTCATTAGTCTTATAAGTTGAGTCCATTTTTCATGTACGAACGATGTGGGACAACTCACAAGTGATATTCTAACACACTCCTCACTTGTGAGTCCTTCGAAAGCCCAAGCTCAAATACGGAGCTGGGTGCCCAAGCCCTACTAAAAGTAGGCTCCCATAAACGGGTACGTGGGGAAAAACGAGTACTTCATCTCACGGTAGAACCGGCTCTGATACCATGTGAGAATGTGGGAATAATATCTGATGTATTATTTACAAAGAGAAGTACACATATATATCGATACATATATGGGTCTTAGCCTAAACCTAACCTATAATACAATCTCAATATTTACATATTTAACGGAATGGACTTCCAATGTATCAAAGCTAGTCGGACCTGAAACAACATTGCATTGACAATTGTTTAAATTAAAAGCAAAAATTAAAATTAGATTCTAATTCCAAAACAACACATGATGAGACTATATTGTGAAACTGATAAAAAAGGAATAAACAAAAACGGGGACATAAATACATTTAAATATTGTTGATCCAAGAATTCCAAGAAAGTTAATTTTTTTTATGCATTATAGTTTCTTTTGGTGAAATTATTAAATAGCTAGCTATTGTTATTTTTGTTAGTTATAACTCACGAATTGTAGATTTTATTTTTGTTATTTCTCCATTTTAACGGATAATCGATAACCGAACTGATCCAACCGATGGATTTTCAGGTGGGAACCGAACCGGACCGTAGAATTCGGTTTGTTTTTCGGTTCTTAGGTTGGACAAACAGAAATTTCGGTTGACCAAAATTTTGGTCGATTTGGTTTGGTTTTGATCGAGTGACCAGCTTGGGAAGAAGCAGATGGGATTCGTATATTTGTGTAATTGCACTGGACTGGTAATTATTATAATATATATATATATATAATAAAAAATATATAATTATTACACTGGACTAGTAAGATACTCGTGTACTACAGAAATATGTAAAAAAAGTATCTTTTTACAATAAAAAATTAAATTAATTTATGATCTTATTATTAAATTATAAAAAATAAATATAAAATAAATAATAAAAAATTAAAAAAAAAAATCATGTTACTTAATGTGAAACTTGTCTTTTACAATCAATTTGGCCCTAATAATAACTTTTTTATTACATTTTTTTTATTACATTTATAAAATTGTACATGTCTAAATAAGTACTCCCTCCTTTTTAAATTAGATGTCGTTTTGACTTTTTTGATTCATCCATTTTAATGTCTAGATACGTAGCAAAATGGATGAATCAAAAAAGTCAAAACACAACACAAACAAACAAAACAACAAAAAACACAACAGCAAGACCAAACCGAACCAAAACAACGCCGACACCCACTAGCAACCATCCACACAGACAGAAACCCGGTCTAAGACACAAAACCAGAAACTGCAGAATACACGCTTAACTAGAGTAGAGGCTCCAATACCTAGCCCTGCCCGAGTAGCCAACCCATTGTCCCAGAACCGGAGATCAACAAACAAGCTTCACCATCCCAGCCCCGACAACCCTGGCCCCCGACACGAGACCCAATCCTGGATCGACTCTGCCCAAGCAATCGGACGGCTCAGAAGCAGAGAAATCAGGAGAAGGGGAGAAGCAGAATGGCCCGATCTCAGCCTGACAACCCCCGAAGAGATGATCAAAACCACAGCCTTGAGAAGCAAGCTCGCCGGAAAATCGCCGCCGCCCATTCACCGGGAAACCGCCAACCAAAACCCTCCTTGGCGAGGAGGGGTCGAAAACCAAGAAAGGAAGAGTCAGTCGATTTACTCGAGAAGAGGAAGCCGCCATCTGACAAGCCTACGAAATTCGGCCGCACGGTCCGGCGATGTCCACCGTCGAGATGGCCCGGAGAGGCCCTGCTGAGAAGGTTCACGGATCTGCCGGAGAAAGGTTTTTTGATCTGGGGCTTTTTTGAGGAGAGAGAAATTTTTCTAAATCTATACTTATATTAAAGGGGGTACTATTTACTAAATTAAGTAGCCAGAAAAATCAACAACATTTATTGCATTACTATTTTCGTATTATACTATATAAAAAGATATTCTATTTACTACATTTACTATCCAGAAAAGTCAATTGCATTAAATGTCATTACTATTTTGGTATTATAATATTTTATTTATTTAATTGATTTATTTATTTGTTTTATTTTAAAAAGGTAAGTATAATAAAAAGATTTTAATAATAAAAAAATCAAATATCAAATAAAAATGTACACATTGACTTATTTGATTATATTTGGTATTTGATTATACCAAATATATTTCTATTTAGTATATACATTAAATACTTACTAAAGTATTTATTTGTTTTATTTGTCAAAGTTAAGTATAGATTTGTTTATATTATCAAATCATAAAAAAATATTAAATCCATATTGTAAAAATAAATCATATAATTTTATAACAATTCTACTACACTATTTAACAATATTCTTTTTTTATTGTATAATAAAATAATAATTAAATATTATATGGTGAACAACAATAAGTAAAACTGTTACTTTCTCTTATATCAAGGGATAAATTTATATGCTAAAATTAAATTTTTATTAGTATAAATATTTTAGTGAGATAATATATTAATTATTTTACAAGCTAGCTCTAACATGCTCATATTTAATGTTTTAAAATATGTAGAAAAAAAACTTATAATAACTCTATTGTTTTTTAGACTTAAACGTTGATTAAAAGAGGTAAAAATTCCTAATTTTTTAGACTTAAACGTTGATTAACACCATAGATTGAGAGTTTATATTTAGTAAAATTCCTAATTGTAATAAAAAAATAAATTTTGCTATATTTTAGAATATCTTTAAATTCATTATAAAAAAAAAAGAAAAAAAAAACTACAATGAAAAAAGCAAGTCAGCTATATATCGATGTGTTGTACTCCTCAAATCACATTCACAATTTGGCTACAAGGAAAGGAAACTCATTGATTAAAATATTATTTTGTCAGTAGTCTTAATGGACAAGAGACTTTAAGACTCCACTTGAATATTATAAAATTTTTATTGAACATTGTACAATTTCTTACGTATTATAAACTTTTATTAAATATTGCATCTTATAATATAATATTCTCCAAATAAATATATCTCGTGCTTCGCACGGGTCACGTACTATATATATCCCGTACATTTTTCTTTATTCATGTATATAATTATAAGCCTGGATAAATAGCCTTAAAATTATACACTCCGTGCATCGCACGGACTCTGTACTAGTAAATATTATCTACAATGTCCTAAAATGATCTTTTTATTGCATATTGATAATTTGTATTTTACATAGCAATTTAATGTTTTATTTGATAATTCTCAACTTGGTTTTATAAATAAACTTAAATTCCATTTATAATGGCAGGTGAAGTTATTTCACACACACACTATATATGGGCTGGTTCAAATAAAAATCAGCCTTGAGAATCATATTGAATGCTATTTTTAATTATGTATGATGTTATTTTTAATATTACATGATGCTATCATTTTTATAAATGTTAATATAAATAGTGTTGCTATTTTTGATAATATATATCTTGGTTAAAATAGCACTAAAACACACTCAATCATAGTATTTCATACAATTAAAAATAGTAGTTCTCACGCTAGGACTTGGTTCTCATTTGAAACACATTATATATATATATATATATGGATGAGTTCCAGTAAGAATGATTTTCAGTGAAAGAAATAAGAATAAATTTGAGCCATTAAATATGATCATCCAACGGCTAAAAAATGTCAAATTTTTATACTCATTAAGGGTAATTCAGACATTTCTCAAACCAATAACCATAGACACAACAGTGGGTCCCACCACTACCACCACACCTGTTGTCTTCAACTCACGACTCACGAGTCTCTCTCTCTCTCTCTCTCTCTCTCTCACACACACACACACACACAAACCGACACGGCTATTGTGAATGTTGCAATTAATTCTTTTGACATATAGGCTGACTGTAATGTGTTGAGGCTTACAAAAAATATGTGCATTGGTGATTCAGATGAACGCGAGAGCTTTTGCTAATTGGATAGCGAGTATTGGAGATGGAACCATTGGGGGATCCAATGGTGGATGTCCTTTCATAGACATGCCTGATATATATTGTTGGAGCCCATTGATGATCTTATCACTACAGTTTCCGCTAATGGTTTCTTATTCCACGACGACTAACAAGAGATAGGATCAATCTTTATCACATTTTGGCATGTTATTGAAGAAGTCAATATTCTGACATAGCCAGTTGTATGTTGTTGTTTCCCGTATCATTAATCGAAAAAGCTTGAAAATATTAGTTTGCAAAGAAGATGGTGTACGTACAAGGCAAAAAATATTGTCTGTAAGGAGGTTTTTAATAATATATCTTTATTGTATTTATTTAATTTTCTTCATTCACGAATCCCTTCTCTATATATAATTTCAGAATGCGCTGAGGCTACGTGGCAAATTCTCATGCTTCGTAATCCTATTTGGCAAAAAATCATGCTTTGGAGTTAGGCTTGGATATAAATTAATATTTGTATTAATTATATTTTAATATCATTTCCTATTATAACCAATTGAATTGCAAATATATTTTAAAAGTTTATAACTTTTGTATTTCTTATTGGTTTTACATATATAATATATCAAATTAATCATCTTTTGATGAGCTTCGATTTGACATCCATATTATATTTATAAAATAAATAAATTATATTTATCTTTATAATAATAATAAAATAATTTATTTAAATTAATTAGAAAATAAAATTATTTATCAATTAATATATTTATGTTTAATGTAGTTATATGTTATAAGGTAGAAAATTTATTATAATATAACACATATAAGTCGCACAAGTAACATGTGTTATACTAAAATATATAATAATATATACTCCCACCTATTTTTATTATTCGTCGCTTTGGCTTAATTGATCATAAAATAAATGTCGTTTTATATATTTTGTTCATATTTTTTCCTTTGTAACCCTCCATCTAATACACAGTGTCTCTTCATATCTCATATCCATCGTTTCCCATAACATCCATTAAATATGGTTAATATTGTCAAGAAAAAAATATCTTAATTAGTGTGTTACATTTGAATTGATATTACGAAGTCCGTTTGTATTTTACTATTTATTTATATATATATGAAATACTTTTATCTATGAATTAGGCATATTAGTAATATATTACTAATAAGGATATAAAATATTTTTATCTATGAATAGATACAAAACAGTAATATATATCCTTATAGATAAAATTTAAATTTATTTATCAAACTAATAAATTATATCAAATAAACTATAAATTATATTATAAAGTAATAGAAATTAGTATGTATTCGATTAAAAATGATATTTATTTCAAATCTAATTGATATGTTGTCAATGTAATAAAAATAAATAATTATTATATAAATTCTAAACTTACATATAAAGTTAAAAAATTGTGACTGATACGACATTTGATGTATTAGGTATCTAATTAAGTAAAAAAATTTAATCTATTTTGTTTAATATTAAATAAATATATTCTATACTTATGCATATACATATCACCATAATATTTCTATTTACTTAAGATATATATTTTTTTACTTATGTAATAGTAAATAATATCCATATTTTTATATGATATAAATAAAAAAATTCAACACGAGTTGACATTTTCATTTAATGTACGGGTGTTTAATTATTATGATTAAAAAATATAATTTGACAATTTAATTAAAACTTAAAGTAATGTTTTATATAAAATTAAATTATTTTAATTTTTTAAAAAATAAAAAATCAAATATTTTTTACAAAAGCTTTGTAATTCAACACCCGTGTAGTACACGGGTATTGTACTCGTATAATAATAAAGCTGAGTAAATAACCATAAAACTATGCACCCGTGCATCGTATAGGATCTACACTAGTTTCATTAACTTACACAAAATAAACAAAAGATAATACGCACAGAGAAAAATATCGACAAAGAAAATAATGACTCATTCATCGTGCCACAACATTCACCCAAAATTACACCAAATTACTTTCCCCTATAATTTCTTCCATGTGTACATTTGAATCGAATGTATATATACCCCTGAATCCATAATCACCCTCACAATCACCCCTTTACTTATTTTCATCATAACTCT